ATGTGCGTACATACGGGGGACAGCGGGGACCAATTGATAGGTCAAGGCATGGCCTTGGAACGTCTAAGTGGAACCACGCACGGCAAGGCACTCGCTTATATAGGTGGACGGTAATGCTACGCTCAACCTTGGGCATAACACTATCGGTTACGGTGTTGAACTTTCGAGCAGCGGATTCGGGGATCGAGGCCAGCAGCCGGCGACAAGGGAGCAGCAAAGCATTATGAAGGGGATTGAGGGGTTGAGGGACCGACGGGGCTATCCCCCTCGGTTTTGCTGCCGACCTCGGCAACGGGCCAGATTGGTGGGAGAGCATAGATTGGAGCAGCCCAAGGCACTGTGGCAGAGGCTTGCAAAGAATACTGACGTGCAAAGCATACGTCGGACTTGGGTATGCAGGCGAAGGTCTAAACGAGCCGCCTAGCTGCTGGTCCCATCCGGAAGTCCCCACAGAATAGCCAGACTACAGAGAGTAACTACAGGGTCAGGAACTTACCTGTCAAGAGAAGACAGCAGCCGTGAAGCCTTGCCTGTTGGACCGGTACGCTGCTCAACGTATCGACGGAAGGGGCGTGAGTCCAGCCGCGGGGTCAAACTTACCTAACAGGCCAATGCGATGCTTATGCTATCGATGGAAATAGTGTGGGGTATGCCGTGAGGGGGAAGGCTTACTTGTGCCTGAATCAGTAGATACCCTCCATGGTGTTTGGGCTAGTGTGCAGCTTTGAGCCTATCAAAGTTGAGGCGGCGGCACACAATGATATTGATGCTCAAATCGTTCGTCGGACTTGGGAACAAGGGCGAAAGACTAATCAAACTGGCTAAACTACTCGTTCCCTCCAAGGTTTCTCTTAGGTTAGTTGGAGATGTTGATTGGACTACCGAATACCACGAAATCGATCGCTGCGGAGTCGACGTTGCCAGGAAATTGCGTTCGTCGAGAGAGAGACGAGTTGCGAGCGGCAATGAGGAATGCAATGGAAGATATGGGCATGGCGAAGGGTTAACCCGCATCCCGCCGATTCCTTACTGAAATCGAGCACGCGAAGAGTTGAAACAGAGGATTTCCAACCGGGCGAATTGATAGGAGACGTTAGTATGACGAAATACGAAGTGAGCAAAGAGTTAGGGAAAAGGGAGTCTACGGAGGCGGCAAAAGAGGGGTGGACGTTCATGGATCGCGGCGGATTCTGAGTCGTTTCGAGTAAGTGAAAGAGTTAATCGGGGTTTCTTGGGACGTGCGATGCTGGATCTGTGGCCAAATTGGGGGGGGGGAATCAATAGGGAGTGTGTTGGAAGGAAACTGAAGTGCGCGGGGATGTTAGGGAGAAGGATATGGCGGGCTAGTCTTCAATCGATTCTTTCGGAAATCGGGCGAAATTAAAATTATAGATAGACGGCATTGGGTATTGCGAGCTTGATAGTGGTGTTACTTTCAGCAAAAGGGGGCGGTGTTAGTAATAGGAAGGTTGAGGTTGTATGGCGGCTGAAGTGCGCGGGGATGTTCTGGAGGCAGGGAACTGTCATATATACCTCTTTCTGTCTGTATGAGCCCACTACACCCCTGTTGGCTATCGCCTTTTAGTCTGACTGTTGTGTTCCCATATGTTTTTGTTTCTTTTCAAAACTCGATCAGATTGAATGGAAGAAATGCGTGTGTGTAAAACTTAAGTTTTCTTTTATTTTGACTGAAAGCAGGCTAAGGGATGAACAGGGGGAAGGTGGGAGGAAGGCAGTTTTGTATGCGTTTGACTGGGTCAACCAAAGGTTGGGCATAGTTTCTAAGCGGAGTGGCCCAGTGCTATGTTTATTGGTTGTTTTCTGAAGGACCAGGCATTGTTTCTAAACAGAATGGCCTGGTTGCTGTGTTTATTTCTGACGGCTTGCCTGGCTGAATTTTGAAACCAAGCAGAATGGTTTGGTATGTCCGTGTTTTTTGGGGTTTCTGACCGAGGTTGGGTTGAAAGATCCAGCTTCATGCTTTTGAGTGATTTGAGTTGATTTGAACATTGTTTCTAAGCAGAATGGTTCAGTTCCTTGTTTTATTTCTGAGGGGGGATTTTTTGTGGAAGGTTGAGCATTGTTTCTAAGCAGAATGGTTTAGCCTGAAGCCACACAGATAAGTGTAAACTGAGTATAACAGGAAGTATTTTATTTATATTTGCATGTGAACCGGCAGTTGGACATTGTCTCTAAGCAGAACGGTCCAACGTTAAGCCATATCACTAAGAAGTGAAGTGAAAGTATAAAGTACAATTAGAAGTAATCTAAGCACGTTGGGCATTATTCCTAAGCAGAATGGCTCAGTCCCCTACCCATATTTTCCTTTCTTTTGAGAACACAAACCAAAAATGATTAACCTCTGGATATTTAACAGTTCAAGGCGACTAGACATTGCTTCTAAGCAGAATGGTCTAGTCATACGCCCAAAGAAGAGAAAAGTAGTTGTGCAACCTGTTAGTGTATATTCTAACGCATGCTAGGCATTGTTTCTAAGCAAAATGGTCTAGCACCATGCTATATGTAAGTTGGGCATAAGGGGATGGTTCCATGAACTACTCCATGAGGAATTGACTTGGGAATGGGTGAGAGTACTTACCATTGTGGTTTGGCCTTGCATGTGGTTGAGTGAGATCTTTACTTTGTTTGAGTTTCGGTTTGATAAGTAGTTGCTTTAGATGCTCGCCACGTGCTGTATGTAAGTTGCTTTAGTCCAATTCCTATATTTTCTGAGCTAACTTTTTTTTACTTAGGTCAATTTTCGTATTTTTTTAGATCATTTGTTATACTTGGTTTTGTATAAAACTTGGAAAGGTACTTCTCCGACGGGAAGCGCTGCTGAAATTTTTACAAAACCAAGGAGTTGGTCAAAATTTGACTTTTTAAAATTCAACTTTTTGTCCAAGTTTACATCTGGCTTAGCAGAGGTCTAGAAAGTTTTTTTTCTGAGGGAAGTGTTTCCAAAATTTTTACTAATTCAAGGAGTTAGACAAAATTTAACTTTGGAGTTATTTTAGATTCTGAACTTAGTTTTGCATAAATTTTGGAAAATAACTCAAAAGGAGTTAGTTAAAATTTGTCCTGGCAGAGACTCAAATTTTATTTTGAGTTCTTATCTGACTTAGTATAAATCTGGGAAGTTTACTTCTCTAAAGGAGATGCTGCCCAAATTTTTACTAATTCGGGGAGTTACACAAAATTTGACTTTCTAGAGTTGAGGTCCGTTTCAGTTTTCATATTCGGGCTAATATAAATTCTGAAAATACACTTTTCCTACGAGAAGCGCTGGCGAAATTTTCTTAGTTTAGAGGAGATAAATTATATTTTGACAGGTGGCTATGGAGTTTTATTCCCCATATAAATTATATTTTGACAGGTGGCTATGGAGTTTTATTCCCCATACACTGATAGTTAGCCTTGGGCATTGGCATGTCTTGTGTTACATGTCCTCTTGATCGCTTCGATTCAGGATTGGGCAAGATTCAACTCGATCCCACGAGGATCATCTTCTATTATCATTGATAACAGGTCAGTTGCGGATTCATCGGTTCACGACTCAACTTCAATTCACTCTCGTCAGCTCAACCTAAAGGGTTTAGACCTGTGGTTTGATTTGTTCCGTTGGGTTTTCACCCGGACTTTATTGAATGGCCATTTAACGAAGATGCTGAGTATTTTATTATGAAACGTTGGACAAAGGTTGGGGCTTCTATGGCCAAACCGAGGGGTGTGAGTGTTGGGAATGGTTGTAGTTGACCCGTGTAGTGTATGGACTTTTTGGTGAACCTCTTATGTGATTGCAAATATGTTTTGTGGTTCGGACTTTGGATTTGACTCCCTGCTATCACACACATATATATAAGAGGAGTCTTACTATGATTGTGAGAAGTCTCAAGGGAGATTCTCTTTTACCTTTGCTTTTTAGAGTTTTTATAGTTGGATGTTGTAGTTCGTTGCAGTCGTTAAAGTCAAACCCCTTGATTTCTCTCCAGCCCTAGATGATGGAGCTTGCCTCCAAGGTCTCGAGAGACGACTGCCACCACAAGTATGAACCTGTATACCACCCTCTCTCCGCAAGGTGCAGAAGAGGGAGTGGTTCTCAACCGCCTAGGCGTTTGTCTACCATTGAGAGATTTAACCCCTCAAGGCGCGTGTCAGCCAATACTTGAGTGTCGAACGCGACCCTCGAGACTATCGAGGACCGCGTAATTGTGGGTACTACATAGTACTCCATTGTTGCGACTGCTTGCGTACACATGCATAGCTAGTCGATATGAGAAGGCCCTGCGTCCGCGCGGTTTTATACCAAGTATCGCACGCGTCGCCTAACCGTGTTCCGTGTTGGAAGGTTATGGGTTGGATACTGAAGGGACTAGGAGTGTTTCCGTTTGTTTTGTTTTGTGTGAGTATTTATTTTTTATGTTTGTAGTGTGGTGTAACGCGTGGTCAGCAGGATGCGTCCTAGTCTACGACGACGAGTTGCACTTGGGACTTCAGCCCCCCAATGTTTGTAGGACCACGCGTACCCCCTATGCTACAGCGTACTAGAAACGCCATCGGCTGGCCCACCTCTGCGATTGCAACTGATTAACTTTCGTATTGTGGACTTGTAGCTCGGCGGGGATACGCCCACCGAAGGGAGGCGACAACTCCCGCAGGTAGAGGTAAAGTTATACCTCGCGTAGGCCCTACCCTATCGTAGGGGTTTGCGGGAGGTATGGTTGGCGCACTCGGCCGGAGCGGCTACGAGGGTCCCACCCGGCGGGACCAATGCGCTCGACAGGTGTCGCTGTTGTCGGGGATAACAGTTGCCTACCGTTGTCCCTGGTGGAATGAGATTAATTGGCCGCCTGATAGACTACTATAGAGCTAGTGTGGCTGAAGTCTACGTTTTCTTTGAGATGAGAGAAGTATGGATCTGATAGTGAGGACCAGCCCTGCCTAAGTTGAAAAGGAGTTGCGATACCAGTAAGGTCATTCTGGGAAGTATGAATATGTAGGAAATAAGGTCAGTATGATGACACTGCAAAATGTTGAATGAAGTGTTACCCTTTCTTACCAGGAAGTTTGAATAAAGAGACTGGCAGAGATGGCAAAAGGCAACGCCGATGGTGTGGGAAACAGAATGACAATTGACGATTTGGTCGAGGCTTTGGATAGGCGGGATTTGAGGCGAGGGAATGTCCCTAAGGTTGACACCTTCCTGTTCAAGGGCGAACAGGTATCTGATTGGATGGAGTTAGTAGCAGGCGATGAGGGGTCTAGCGGACGCAGCGAAATTCCAGCGCATCCTAAAGTATGTGTACCATGGTCTTTACAAGGAGGTGAACAAGGTCATCTCTGCCACACATGATAGCTGGGTGAGATTTAAGGATGGTATGCAAAGGAGTTTAGGCTGGGGGATGGCCTGCTGACGGCGGCCGATTTATAAGCAATGAACAAAAATGACTATACCACCGTCGGAGCCCTTGCCGAAGAGTATAAGAAGAAGGCAAGGAAAGTCCCAGGGATTTTGGAAGAAGAGCAATGCACTATCTTTGGGCTTTTCAAAGCATCTGAGGCCTAGGAGTTGACAAAGCGAGGTGGGGTAGCGAAAAGTTCACCTGGGCCACGACCGACAAGGGGGTAGAGGAAGGCGACTTGGATCAAGTCGACCAATTCCAAATGCGCCAGCATAGGCAAAACAGGAAGGAGCGGGATGCGGCCGTTACAAGGACTCCGAGGCAAAAAAATTATCATGGATGTACTCGCGGAGCTGGGCTATGGAAAGGACCCCGTAGCGTAGAAAAAGGTGGTGACCACGGTCCAAGGAAGAGGAAAGGAACCGGTTGTGGAGGAGGTCGCCCAGGAAGAGTGGGAGACGGTGGCCCAAAATCTTGTAAAGGCGCAACTTGAGCAACACAATTTGGCACAAGGCGAGCAAGGCTCCGGTAAGGGGCAAGCGCCCCAAGCACTGGGAGTGGCCTCACCAAGCGTAGCAACACCATCAAGCAACACAGGGCCTTCACAAGCGGGTCTGCCACCATATGGACAATGGCCGTCCTATGGTCCCATGGGACCCTAGCCTGTGTTTGGCCCCTACGTGTTATGGGGAACGGGTGGTTAAGCTCCGCTTGGTCAGATAGTACCTTATTCGGGGCCTCAACCGAGTACGACGACACTAAGCTATCCGGCAACTCAGGCTCAGCCAATGGCACCACCTCCACCGCTCATTCAGCAAGGCTCGCAGGCTAGCGTGGCAGGGGGAGGGAATCAGGAGCACGACAGTCAAGGGAACGGGAGCCGAGGTCAAGGGGGCGGGGGTGGCGAAAGAGGACGAGGCCGGAATGGTGTGAGGTCGGGGTGGCCGATGGAATGGCCAAGGTAGCCAGGACAGGGAGGCAAAGGTGACCAGGAAGGGGGGCAAGGATATGGGAGGCCTCACTTCGACTGGCGGAACGCCACTTGCCGACATTGCGACAAAGTCGACCAAACTTTACGTTTCTGCCAAAAGCGGCGAGATGATGATGACAAAGGTGGACTGATCTCCTCAAATATAGACGGAGATATATACGATCAGTTTAGGGAATACATTGACCCAAAGATTCCTGGCGGGACGAGGAAGGAGACCCTTAGGCGGATAGACGAGTGGCAAGCGCCACCAGCCATGTTCAGGTTGTGGCAAGAGAAGGAAGACCCGTCTATAAGGGTGGAAGAGGTGGAAGAATGTGAAGAGGTGACCCAACGGCTACAGGCGGGGGTCATAAAGGAGGAGCCCATAATCATCGAGTCAGACGGGGAGGGCTCAGATGGAGAGATGGAGTCTTCGTCGGTCCTCCTAGGTAAGATGGAGGACTTGGGGGGGAAGATGAGCAGATACCAGCAAAAGCTGGTAGAGATATGTGAAGAGGTGAAGGAGTGGAAAGTCGATCTCCCCAAGATCTTCCTCTATGAGTCCAATCCTGAGTCGGTACCGGCACACCAAGGGTATCCTGGAGTGGCAACGGTGGGATCAGTGCCTAGGTCGAGTATGACCTTTAGGCCCCTTACATCGCATGGGAGGGTACCACAGGGGCTCGGACCAGAGCCCAGAGATAGGCAAGTGCCAGTCAGGAGCCTCCCCGAAAGGAGCCTAAGCAAGAGTGAAGGAAAGAGGCCGTCGAGATTCAGGAGGGTGATGACGAAGATGAGGAGGATGAGAGGCTCCGCCTGGACGAAGATCGGCGAGCGGAGCAAAGGGCAAAGAATAGGGGAGTCCAAGAGAAAGTTGAACCAATATTGCGCGATATTGCACCGAAGAAGAAGAAGTGTGCGGTTCGGTTGGAAGAAGGCTTTCATGTGGAAAGAATGGTGGACAGGTTGCTTGAAGATCAAAATGACCTCAGGAACCTGAAGGATATCCTAGCATCTACTCCAAGGCTCCATAATGGGCTAAAGGGAAGGCTTTCGTGGCGATCAGTGCCTAACGTCCATTTGAGTACGATTCTGCCAAAGGAAGCAGAGTGGGCGAAAACTGGGACTAAAATGGACTGGAAGTGTGTGGCATGCGGATTGGTAGACCTAATGGTGAGATGATCTAAATGTATTGCGATGGTGGATACAGGCGCGAAGATGAACATCATCAGGGAGAGGGATGCAATTGCGCTAGGCATGGACATAAACCGCTCAGATTACTACAGCCCGCATTGTGCCAATTGCAAGGCGGTGTTTTGTGGGACGACCTCGAATGTGGTCGTCGAAGTTGGTAAGGTGAAGGCGAGGACATGCTTCTTCGTCATGCTTGACGTGGACCACCCCATTCTTCTGGGAGATCATTCATGTGCAGGACGGAGACCTTGGTCTTCAATAAGCACAATGGTACAATGATCTTGCTCCTGTGTGACCTGGCATTGGGAATTACGAAGTTATCACCTGCCGGAACATGCGGCCCAAGAGTGTGTGGAACCAGCCTAACCCTGGCTCGTTCACTATTGAAGAATTAGAAAACGAGCGGTGAAGGCTTTTGGAAGAACCGGAGGAGGAAGACCGCAGCAAGACTCTGTGCTAAGTCAGCCCACCGATTGCGGGAGCTCTGCCGGAACTCGGGAGGAGTTCTGGAGGCAGGGAATTGGAAAGTAACCATTGCTTCCCCTCTGCATGCCCCTTTACTTTGACTTTACGTTTGACTTTCACGACAAAACCAAACTAAAGGAATGTATGCGCAATGTCAGTTTCAATTTTCATTGTTTGACTGAAAGCAGATTGTGGGGTTGCATATGGGGTAAGGATGGGAGGAAGGCAGTATTGCTTGTTTGACTGGGTCTATCAAAGGCTGGGCAAGTCTCCATAAGTTTGGGGAGGCCCAGTGCTATGTTTATTTTGAATTGCCTGGAGAACCAGACATGTTCCATAAGTTTGGGTGGTCTGGTTGCTCTGACTTGTGAGGGTTGACTGTGAATGACTTTTCAGGGACCAAGCATGTTCCATAAGTTTGGGTGGCTTGGTCGCCTTGTTTACTTTGGGTTTCTTTCAGTTTTTTTTTGTCCTGAACGAGGAGGTCTGAGCATGTTCCATAAGTTTGGGTGGCTCAGCCTCTTCCTGCTATGGTTTTAAGAAAAATGAACCAGGCTGAGGACCAAGACATGTTCCATAAGTTTGGGAGGTCTTGGTCCAACGCCACGCACATGCTGGAACCAAAAGGTTATAACTTCGCTATACCTTACTACTATCTTATCTATGAACAGGTTAGTCAGACAATGTTCCATAAGTTTGGGTGGTCCGACTATAGCTTATCACAAACTGAAGAGAGTATTAATTAAAAGTAAATTTGTGGTACGAAAGGGAAGACTGAATCTTGAGCTAAAGATGATCGGTTCAGTTATATGCTACCTCAAAAGACTAAGTGCAGATAATTATGTAAAGTTGGGATACTTCAACAGTTCAAGGCGATTAGGGTGGCCTAGTCATATGCCAAAAGAAGAGAAAAGTTGTTGTGCCCTGTGTTTGTGTATACTCAATAGATGAGCTAGACATGTTCCATAAATTTGGGTTTTTATGCCCTCTGTAAGTTGGGTTTTAAGGGATAAATCATTGGGAGACCATGAACTATTGTTTGATAAATTAACTTTGGGATGATGAGAGTACTTACCTTTGTGGTTTGGCCTGCATGTGACTGAGTGCGACTACTACTTAGTCTGAGTTTCAGTTTGATAGGTAGTTGCTTTAGTTACTCGCCACGTGCTAGAGCCATAGAAGTTAGTTTTCAATTCCTGCATTTTCTGAGCTAAGTTTATTTTTACTTGGGTCGATTTCTGCATTTTTTTGGAACATTTATTATAGTTGGTTTTGTATAAATCTTGGTAAGTCACTTTCTCTACAGGAAGCGCTGCCGAAATTTCTACAAAACCAAGGAGTTGGTCATATTTTGTCTTTTTCAGGGTCCAATTTTTTCTGACTTTTTTGGCTTAGTAAAAATATGGAAAAACTTCTTTCCTAAAAGGAGTGTTGCCCAAATTTTTGCTCATTCAGGGAGTTGCGCAAAATTGGATCAAAGTCACTTTAGATTCTGAACTTAGCTTTGTGTAAATCTTGGAATAACACTTTCTCTGCGGGAAGCGCTGCCAAAATTTCTACAAATCTAAGGGGTCAGTTGAACTTTGTCTTGAAGTCGAACTCAAGTTTAACGCCTGAGTTCCTATCTGACTTAAATCTGGGAAGTCTACCTTTCTAAAGGAGATGCTGCCCAAATTTTTACTAATTCAGGGAGTTAGACAAAATTTAACATTCCAGAATTAGAGTTGGTTTTGTTTTCATATTTGAGTTGGTATAAATTCTGCGAAGGCACTTTTCCTACAGGAAGCGTTGCCAAAATTTCCCTAGTTTAGAGGAGTTAGGTTATATTTTGACAGGTGGCAGGTATGGCGATCCACTCTGTATAGAGGAAATTTTGCCAAAGGTTTACCTTTTCTTTAGACACTTACTTAAGGGTAGACTCAGGCTTAATTAAGTAGAATGATTCTTGGTGAAATCGTGATATCGAGATTACTCTCGATTTGGACTCATAGATTTAACTTGGGGTTTACAGGTCCTCTTGAACGTTTGACTCGAAATCAGGACCAGATTCAGCTTGATCCTACAAGGATCACCTTCTGTTATCACTAATAACAGGTCGGTTGCCGACTTTGAATGGCCATTTAACGAAGGTACTGAGTATTTAATTGTGGTTGGTTGGACAAAGGTTGGGGCTTGCATGGCTAAAGCGAAGGGTATGAGTATAGAGATTGGTTGAAGTCGACTTCGTGTAGTGCGTTGAAGTTTTTGGTTGACTCTTTGATGTGATTGCTAGTATGTTCAATGGTTCGGATTTTGGATTTGTCTGCCTGCGATTACACACATATATAGGGCTATGAGGAGTCCCACTGTGATTGTGAGAAGTGATCGTCACGTACTTATATACCTCCTTTATATATGTACATATAGGTACTTGGTGTTTGCGTGACTTGAGGGACCCTCACTTAAGGGTTTAATTGGGGTTGAGATTGAGAAAAGAAAGAAAACCTCGTTTTATTGTTGAGTGTTTCTTAAAGATTTTTTAGTCGGACGCTGGTCCTCGGCCCGGATTCGAGGTCCTTTTCCAAGACATCCCAGGTCTTAGACTCTGCATAGAAGGGATCTCCCCCCGCGCAGAGCCTATTTGCCCTGCCTGCCGGGACGCTCAACCTAAAGACTAGAGGTGCCGCGGAAGCCGCACGGCTATTCCTTCAGCCGTGCAATATTGTGAAGGGATAGACCCTCACGATACTTCGAGTTTGACACTTGAGTGTCATATGCGGTACTCGGATCCACGAGGGACCGCTTGATTATGGGCACTACATAGTACGCCATCATTGCGACTCTTGCGTAGTCATGCATTGCTAGTCGATATGGGAAGATCCTGCGCCCGCGCAGTTTTATACTAAGTCTCACGTGCGACGCCTATCCGATTTTCGCATCGGAAAGTTATGGGATGATTATAAGGGACTAGGAGTGTTGTCGCGTTGTTTGTTCTGTATCGTTTTGTGTGTGTATGCGTGTGTGTTTTTATTTTTATGTTCTTTAGAGTGGTGTGCGTGTGGTATGTGGGATCCATCTTAGTCGACCGACAACAAGTCGCGTTTAGGACCTCAACCCCCCAAGGCGTCAGTTCGCGTACGGGTCCGATAGAGGCGTAAAACCACGCATACCCCCTATATGCTACAACGAACGAGAAACGCCCTCGGCTGGTCCACCTCTGCGATTGCAGCTGATCAGCTTTCGTCTTGTGGATTGGTAGCTCGGCGGGGATATGCCCACCGAAGGGAGGTGACAGCTCCCGTAAGGTGGAGGTAAGTCGTGCCTCACGTGGGCCCTATCCTGTGGTAGGGGCTCGCGAGAGGTATGGCTGGYRCACTCGGCCGGAGCAGCTTGCGGAAGCTCCATGTGTATTTGTGACGAGGATTAAGACCAACTCCTGTATGATGCGGCCGGGAGGGTCCCGCGCTGCCTTGTGCAGTGCCGGACCGATGCAGGCACCGGGGATAACGAAACTCCTGTTGACTCGACAGGTGGCGTCGTTGCCAGGGATAACGAAAGCCTACCATTGTCCTTGGTGGAACGACATCCGGGTATAGGATTGAGAGAGAACAGGTATATAAGGAAAGACATATTACGATATATCGTACCAGACTATTTATGATGGATGAACTTTATTAATGTAACAAGTTTTATCTATGATCTGATTGGTTGTCTGGGTTAGAGCATCCTAAAGGAAATCCTATAGTGAAAACGAAGCCTATTAAGATGAGATCAAAAGGGAAGGAATATGTAGTACTACTCGATCAGAATCGCTAAGTGACTGTCCTTCCATTTCAATGGGGAACAGGTCTCTGATTGGCTCGACTTGGTAGAACAAGCGCTAATGGGGTTATCGCACGCTGTGAAATTTCAGCGGATTCTGAAGTATGTGCTCCATAGTCATCATCAAGAGGTAGAGAAGGTTCTGAACGCAGTTAATGGCAGTTGGACAAGATTCAAAGATGGAATGCAGAGGGAGTATAGGTTGGGCGATGGCCTGTTAACCATTGCGGACCTGGAGGCCATGAACAGGGATGACTTCACCACAGTGGGGGCCTTCGTGCAAGAGTTTAAAAAGAAGGCGAGGAAGGTCCCTGGGATCTCTGAGGAAGCGCATTGTGCTATTTTCCTAGGATTACTCACTGCCTCGGAAGCGACGGAACTCACAAGCCATATAGGAGGAAGTGCGAAGCTCACCTGGGCCACTATTGACGAAGGAGTAGAGCAAGGAAGTCTGGACCAAGTGGAGCAGTATCAGATGCGCCTGCAAAGGCGAAAGAGGAAAGAACGGGATGCAACCGCTTCAAGGACCCCGGGAGTGAAGAGGATTGTCACCGACGTACTTGTGGAACTGGGCTATGGGAAGGAAGTGGTGATACAAGAGGTGGTGACGGCGATCCAGGGAAAAGGGAAGGATCCAGTGATAGAGGAAGCCGTCCAGGAGGAGTGGGAAGAAGAGGAGCCGGCGCCCCAGCACCTTTCAAAAGCGCTACGCAAACAGCGCAACTTAACGCAGGGAGGGCAAGGCTCAAGAAAGGGGCAGGCGCCCCAAGTGCTAGGTGGTAGCCTCGCCAAGTACGTCAGCTCCATCAAGCAGCGCGGGACCTTCACAAGCGGCGGTACCACCATACGGGCAGTGGTCATGGCCTGTGCTCAACACCTTTGTGCCATGGGGAAACCCGACTCCATCTGGGCGGATGGTACCATATGCTGGGCCCCAAGCCAGTATGTCACCACCAACCTATCCCGCAACACAAGCCAACCCATGGCGCCACCTCCGTCGCCCGCGTCGAGTTCACAAGGTAGTGTGCCTGGTAGAGGTAATTAAGGCCAAGGTAATCAAGGAAATGGAGGAAGAGGCGGTGAAAGAGGACGTGGCAGGAATGGTGGTGGTCGAGGAGGACAATGGGATAACCAGGGCTACCATGACAAGGGAAATAAAGGGAGCCAGGGAAGTGGGAGATCCCTTTTTGATTGGAGAACCGCTATATGCCAGCATTGTGACAAGCAAGGCCATACTATACGGTTCTGCAATACTAGGCGGGAAGACGAAAGAGCCGGACTGATCTATTCCAATATGGATGGTGATATATACGATCAGTTCGGAGAGTATATCGACCGGAAGGTTCCAGGTGGAGTAGGGGCGGATAGCTGCGCGGCAAGCGCCACCTGCCACATTCAGGTTGTGGCAGGAAAATGACGACCCACCAATTAGGGTGGAAGAAGTGGAAAGTGATGAAGAGGTAACTCGGAGGCTACGGGCAGGAGCTATAAAGGAAGAGCCCATAATCGTTGAGTCATAGGAAGAAAGTGAGGATGAGAAGGTGAAGCCAGCATCAATCCTTCTAGGGAAGATGGAGGATCTATGGCGAAAGATGGGGAGGTACCTGCAGAAGTTGGTAGACATTTGCAAGGAAGTAAAGGGTTGGAGGGCTGGTATTCCCAAAGTCTTTCTTTACGAGTCTGGCCCGGAATCGATGCCACGGCGACCCGGAGTAGCTACCGTGGGATCAGGCCCGCGGTCTGGAATAATGGTTAGACCCCCTACGGCGCAAGGAAGAATGGCACAGGTGACTCGTACCAGAGGTCAGGCTAAGGTCAGTGCAAGCCAAAAACCTCCGCGGAAAGAGCCAGAGCTAGAAAAAAGAAAGGAGGCCGAAGAGGTGGAGAATAATGATGAGGAGGATAAGCAGGATGATAGGCTGCGCCAAGAAGAGGACCAGAGAGCAGAGCAAAGGGCCAAGACGAGAGGCGCCCAAGAAGAAGCCGAACCAATTCTGCGCGATACGACGCCGAGGAAAAAGAAGTATGCGGTCCGGTTGGAGGAAGGGTTCGATGTGGAGAAGGTAATTGACAGGTTACTTGAGGGTCATAACGACTTGGTTAAAAGAAATCCTGGCTTCTGCTCATTGACAGGTACTGAATGTCCATCTAAGTGTGATTCTTCCAAAAGAGGCGGAATGGGCGGAGACGGGAACGAAGCTGGACTGGAAGTGTGTAAAGGCATGGTGGATTTGGTGGTGAAAGGCTCCAAGTGCACAGCAATGGTGGACACGGGAGCAGAGATGAACATCATCCGGAAAGCTGATGCACTCAGGTTCGGATTGCGGCATTTTACATGGTGGATTTGGTGGTGAAAGGCTCCAAGTGCGTAGCAATGGTGGACACGGGAGCAAAGATAGACCGCTCGGATTGCGGCATTTTACATGGAGCCAACTGCAAGGCAGTGTTTTGTGGGACAGCCTCGAACGTACTTATCGAGGTTGGGAGAGTGAAAGCCTGGGCATGCTTCTTTATCATGCCAGATGTGGACCATGGCATCCTCTTGGGAAGGTCGTTCCTGTGCAGGACAAGAACATTGATGTTTAATAAGCACGACGGAACTCTGATCCTGATTATGTGTGATCCGGCATGTGGAAATTATGAAATAATCACTTGCCGGAACATCGGTCCACGGAGCGTAAGGAACCGGCTCAATCCTGGCTCGTTTACAATCGAAGAATCTGAGGATGAGCGTCAAAGACTTCATATGGAGCCAGAGGAGGAAGAAAGGGGTGAGGTGTTCTCCCTTAGTTTATCGGACGTAAACAAGGTCATGGATATAGTGGCCACACACAAGATGGCGGATCCAAACGCCATTCAGGCGTTGAGGGAGCAAGTCCTGGAGTGTCCCCAGGCTGGGGAACTGAAGTTGGTCTATCAGCTTCCGGGCGGAAGGAGGGACCCTGCGTTGATGCAGACACAAGCAATAAGCCGACCTTTTTTAGGGGACGGTTCAAACAGGGTTCCCGAAGGCGGTACAAGACGATAGATAAGAAGTGTCGCCCAGTTCCCGTCCTCGTCACGGCAGATGAGGAGGTTTATTACGAACGCGAACGAGGATTGATGCGGCGCATGAGGGAGCAAGCAGCGACGGGGCCATGCCGTATCAATGAAGGGAACGATGAAAAGTTGATAGTGGGTGAGCCGAAGTTCCTGCTACCCCGGGAGAGAGCACTGCAGCAGTGGCTGAATATGGTGACTATACGAGATGCGGGAGGTTTTCCAGAGTCCTGTGCTGGAAGGCCTATAATTTCACTTATAGACCTCTACTCAGGGTATGATCAGTTTCCAATCTACCCGCCAGACAGGCCAGTGACAGCAATGCATAAGCCTAGAGGATTGATCCATATGAATGTGTTGTAGTGTTCCGGTTCATACTTAGTTTATCTTTCCTCCATGTGCATGCGTCTTTAACTAGTTCAATCTTCTCATTGTCAAGTTCATGTGTGTTGTAGTGTTCCGGTTCATACTTAGTTGATCACTCCTCCATGTATATATACTATTCACTAGTTCAATCTTCATATTGTCAAGATCATGTGTGTTATAATGTTTCGGTTCATACTTAGTTGATTTTTCCTCCGTGTGCATGTGCCTTTCCCTACTTCAATCTTTTCATTGTCGAAGTTTATGTATGTTGTGGTGCTCCAGTTCATACTTTAGTTGATCTTTCCTCCATATGCATGTGCTTTTCACTAGTTCAATCTTCTCGTTGTCAAGTTCATGTATGTTATAATGTTCCGATTCATACTCAGTTGATATTTCCTCCATGTGCATGTGGCTTTCACTAGTTCAATCTTCTCATTGTCAAGTTCATGTATGTTGTAATGTTCTGGTTCATACTTAGTTGATCTTTCCTCCATGTGCATGTGCTTTTCACTAGTTCAATCTTCTCATTGTCAAGTTCATGCATATTGTAGTGTTCCGGTTCATACTTTAGTTGATCCTTCCTCCATGTGCATGTGCCTTTCACTAGTTCAATCTTCTCATTGTCAAAGTTCATGTATGTTGTAATGCTCCGATTCATACTTTAGTTGATCTTTCCTCCATGTGCATGTGTTTTTCACTAGTTCAATCTTCTCATTGTCAATTTCATGTATGTTGTAGTGTTCCGGTTCATACTTAGTTGATCATTACTCCATGTGCATGTGCTTTTCACTAGTTCAACCTTCTCATTGTCAAGTTCATGTGTGTTGTGATGTTCCGGTTCATAATTAAGTTGATTTTTCCTCCATGTGCATGCGCCTTCATCTAGTTCAATCTTCTCATTGTCAAGTTCATGTATGTTGTAGTGTTCCGGTTCATACTTTAGTTGATCCTTCCTCCATGTGCATGTGCTTTTCACTAGTTCAATCTTCTCATTGTCAAATTCATGTATGTTGTAGTGCTCCGGTTCATACTTTAGTTGACCTTTCCTCCATGTGCATGTGCTTTTCACTAGTTCAACCTTCTCATTGTCAAGTTCATGTGTGTTGTGATGTTCCGATTCATACTTAGTTGATCTTTCCTTCATGTGCATGTGCTTTTCACTAGTTCAACCTTCTCATTGTCAAGTTCGTGTGTATTGTAGTGTTCCAGTTCATACTTAGTTGATTTTTGCATGTGCTTTTCACTAGTTCAACCTTCTCATTGTCAAGTTCATGAGTATTGTGGTGTTCCGGTTCATACTTGGTTGATCTTTCCTCCATGTGCATGTGTTTTTCACTAGTTCAATCTTCACATTGTCAAGTTCATGTGTGTTGTAGTGTTCCGGTTCATACTTCTCTCTCCTACATGTGTATGTGCTTTTCACTAGTTCAATCTTCACATCGTCAAGTTCATGAGTGTTGTAGTGTTCCGGTTCATACTTAGTTGATCTTTCCTCCATGTGCATGTGTTTTCCACTAGTTCAATCTTCACATTGTCAAGCTCATGTGTGTTGTAGTGTTCCGGTTCATACTTAGTTGATCTTTCCTTCATGTGCATGTGCTTTTCGCTAGTTCAACCTTCTCATTATCAAGTTCATATGTGTTGTAGTGTTCCGGTTCATACTTAGTCGATCTTTCCTCCATGTGTGTGTGCTTTTCACTGGTTCAACCGTTTCATTGTCAAATTCAAGCATGTATTGATGTTCCGATTCTCACCTTCTTGCTCTTCTACTCATATGAAAGTGTGCCACTAGTTCCTTGTCAAGGTCAAGCATGTGTTGATATTCCGGTTCTCAGTTATAGCTCTTCTACTCATGTGAATGTGTTCCTCTAGTCCTTTGTCACGTTCAAGCATGTGTTGATGTCCCGGTTCTCCCTTAGTTGCTCTTCTACTCATATGAATGCATTCCACTGACTCCTTGTCGAGTTCAAGCATGTGTTGATGTGCCAATTCATCACTTGGTGGCTCTTTCACTATGGGATGGGTGACCGACATTTGGCTGTTGCTACGGGGTGATGATTTGATTAGATTTAGAAGTCTCTCTCTCTCTCTCTCTCTCTCTCTCTCTCTCTTCTCTCTCCCTTCTCCCTCCCTCTCTCTCTCTCCCTCTTCGCCTTACCCCCTCTCTCCCTTCCCCTCACTTGGCGAGTGACTAACCTTTCTCCCCTCACTTGTCACATTGCCAGGGTGTGAACGGTAAAAGAAATCAGACCTCACTTGGTGGAGAAAGAGGGCAAGGAAAGGGTAGTCGGTCCCTTGTGCCACCAAGAAGGGTAAGGAAAGGACGTTTGAAAAAGTGGGGAAAGGCAAAATCCGAAAAAAATATAAGTTGAAGCAAGGTCAGTTTGACTCAACCATTTCCTCGACTGCATGACTACGAGAAGAGGATGGGCTGATTGAGCCCAATGAAAGGCTGAAGAGAAAGGAAAGTTAGCCATGTGGGAAGGGCTATGTGTTGACCCCCAATGGGGGATTGTATGGATCTTTGCTTTGTGTGGGACTGTGCAGGTAAGCGAAGGCTAAGGATGCCTTGAGCGGGATAAGGCCGGGAGGAACCGCGCGGCAAAGGAAAAAGGGAAGGGGGGCAAAGGGGCTACGGGACCCTTAGCATAAAGCCAATCCATGAAAATGACCTTTGCGTTTGAGACTTGAAATGTAAATGAGAAAATGAAGTGCAATCTGGCCAAGGGAAATGTGAAGTTTTGTGTGCATGCATGTTAAGGTCCCGAAAAGACTAAGGGGCCTGCGTCAAGATGAATGAGATGCATGAGACTCGATGGGTGCGTAGAGGCGAGGGGGAGGACGACATCACCGCACCCCGATGACGCCGAAGAATCACAATAGGGAAATGGCGCGCGGCCTACGGATGACGCTTAGCCTGCGCACAAGAGAAGAAAAACTCTCAAAGAGCCCTTGGACTACCTGCGTATTGGAAAGAGCAGTTGCCTGAGAACACAACCAAGAAACAAAAAAAAATCAGCATTGCCGAATGACCAGCGAGACTACCACCCGGCGTGAGGGCTGAGCTACATCCCCAATGTCAAAGCTCTGTCGCGCAATGGCCCACCCCCATCTTTCTCAAAGCACTAGGTGGGGGTGACCCTGGGACGAATGGCCCGCGCCCTGAGCATGAGCGTGGGCGGGTCGAGCCAACTGGGACCTGCAGTGGGGTCGACCAACTGGGACCCGCAGTGGGGTCGACCAACTGGGACCCGCAGTGGGGTCGACTAAGGCTCGAAAGTCTACCGGAGTTTGGCCCTACAAAAATGGTGGAGGTGACGAGCAAGGGGTTAAACTGACCCCTGCGTATTCCGAAGGGGGCGCCCGACGCATTGACGTGTACACAACCAAAGACAAGGAAATTGGACTTCTGCTTGCTCTTTCCCTTGTGAGAATCAGATTTGAGGGTGGTTGGGCGCATGGCATGGCCAGGCCTGGAGGTAAAAGATGTATGCTATGCACTTGATTAGCCACCTCCTTGTGGGATGGCTCTAACCCTCCTCCGTCCGGTGCTGGTGTTCGCGAGTCCGGGGAAGCTTTGGGCAAGTCGCAGGTCGACCCTTCCTCTTCGTATGAAAGAAGGGTTCCGGTTACCTGGCAGGCGGTTGGTCCTTCGACTTCGGCCGGGGTCCGACGAAAATCCCACGGCGGAGTGATCCGACCGAATGGGTGCCCTTCTCTCCCGTGCTTTGAGCCCAGCGGGCTCATGCACTATACGCATTGAAATGCTTGAAGGAACCAACATGAACACAACGAGTCATCAAGAAGGAACAATCCCTCCCTACAATCCCTCCCTATGAAAGGACAAACAAATGAAGAGAAAGGAAATGAAGGGAGTTGCTAGACTCCAAGGAAAACTAACTCACCCTTGAAGATTCTCACGAGAAGGAACCAACCACTGTGTATGAAAGTAGGGGGAGTGACACTCGTTGTCCTGAGAGAAAAATGTGAGTTATGGGTAGGAAGCGCTGGGTGCACCAAGGGAAAGGCACTTGTATTATATGTGTCTCACTTGGGACTTGTGATTTGCATGATGGGATTTGAGCGAGCGTTCTGCCTTTCGGAAGCAAAGGATGGGTCTGCACCGGCTAGTGCGGGTTGCGAAACGTCGCTCTCTTTGAAGTTCCCCGGGTTTCGTGTGTGGAGGTCAGACCACCGAGTTGTCGGACGGGAGTTTGTCGCGCCGGTTGACTAGTAGCATTCTCACTTGGGCGGTCCGAGCATGGCTCGATGACTTTGCCCAGGCGGGGTGCGAAACGTCTCCTAAGGCGGGGCCTAGCCTGTTGACTGGCGGGGGGAGTACCACTGCAGGCGGAGCAAGGAAGGAACCTCGGAGACGATTAGTAGCTTCCCGTAGCACGGCTTGGGAACGGCTGATTCTTGTCGGACCGATGGAAGTGAATGCCCAGACGGCTGACTACTACTCCTAACGGGGTGCGCGGGGTGATTCCCGGTACCAACGAGGGTATGCAAGAGCGAAAAAACGGGATGGGGTATTTTCGGCAAATGGAGACGGGTAACACCCTGTGCCGGAGCCTGGGTACCGCGCTCGCGACGGTTGAGTTGCGCTTGAGGTATGGGATAAAACTCTACCGATAGTACCAGTGGAGAGACCATATTGGGATAGGCTGGTGAGGAGATAACCGACCCGCATGTGAGATTGCCTGATCTTTTTATGTGTTCCCCCTCTGTAAAGATTGATTGAGCTTGGATTGTTGGACGGGGTATAAGCTTAAGTTTATTCTCTCCTCCCCATCCAAGTCTACATGAGAGATGATCAGAAGGAAGGAGGGTAGGGGTCAGTTGGAATGCAACCAAGAAAAAAAATGTGGGGAAATGGATGGCCGACCGAGGATACTATGGGAAGGTGGTACTTAGGAATGGGGAGGTAAATTAGGGAGACCTTGATGAGGGGTCTGAAATAATTCTCATCTAAGACAGGGTTGACCTGATCGGAAAGGTCGTTGGTACTCTCTTATGGAAACAGGGGTCGGGTGCTCGAAACAAGATGGCGCGGTGGTTGTCTTCCCCGATCTATACCAGCGGTCCGAAAATGCCAGTAGATGTAAAGGATGGGGTATCGGTCGTCCTCCCGAAAGATGGGACGTGGACCGATCTTGAGCCAACATATCAAACGGTAATGCTGGAAGAGGAGGACGCCTTCCTATGGATAGAAACGGTATGGACTAATGTCTGCTTGACAAGGTTGTCGCCAAGCTTAATGGATTTGGAGTTCCGAGGGCAGTGGAAGCCCGGGGGTGGGTCTACTTGTCGCAAGATGGCGAGAATGCCATGGTCATAGATTTGGTGCTAGGGAATACGTCGGACGAATTGTTTAGGAAGGCGGAGAGGGAGGTTGTATGGGCTGTGTGTCAGCAGAGGGAAATGGAAATGAAAAAGGTAGATGTGCGGGCGGAACTCAAGGATAGAGGAAGTGTGAGGTGACCCGTCAGAACCATGCGATGTGTGCTGCCTCCCTTTCTGGAGCATGCGGTCTTCGACACCCGGAGCAGGCTAGTACGAATATGCCAGTCCATGACGACCCTCCGACTATAGGGAATACTGCTCGGGAAACTTTTCCTAACGGGATGCCCAACCAGGATTCCTACGCGCCGGCCCGACGAAACAGGGGCACTCTAAACGAGCCTCTGATGAAGGGAACTAAGTCATGTCCCTTATAGCTCGATAGGGCGGCAGGGCCGGTTGCGGCTCCTTCTTAGGGAAGCAATCGGGAGACGGAAATGGGGAGAAGGCTACTATCCGAATAAAGATAAACCGACGAAGCCGGAACCTATGGAACCTAAATGCCTCGCGTTGCGTGTGTCCTGGGGAATCCTCTGGTTTATGCAAAACTAGGAAAAATGGCGACGGAGAATGAGACGGATAACCGTAGGAGCGACGGAGGATGAGACGGATAACCGTAGGAGCGAAGGTGGACCAGGCTTAGGAGGCAGTGCCGTGCAGAGCGAAGAGGGTCAAAAAGACAGAGAATCGATAAATCCGGATGGTACCAAAGGGAATCGGAAGGAAATCTCCTCAGGGGAAAGCTCGGGGAAAGTCGGGCGAAGCAGGCAAGGGACCCAGGAGACCAAGGAGGGAGGAAATAAGGACAGGACAAGCCCCCGGAATTCAGAGGGGGCTGTGTCTAAGAAAGTGAGGGTCACGGATGCGAGGCGCAAACTAGCGGGAATAGAAAAAAGGACCGCGAAGTACAAGGCAAGATTGATTGAGGAAATGATGACTGGGAACGAAGAAGGCCCCCTGCTGGAAGAACCGTAGGACGAACGGAAAACCGGCCGAGGCGGAATGGTGCAAGGGGATAAGGGTAGTGACCGTGGAGGAACACCAAGCAAGAGGAGGAAGGAGAGAGAGAAATCCCCGGGGATGGAAGCAGAGAAAGCTACGAACCCACCAGCCATAGATAGCAGGGCTAGCTGTCTGCCGACCACGCCGACGGTAACGCGAGGATGTGAAGGACTCTGGAGCCTTAGGGAAAGGGTGTTGGGATGGTTCGACCCGGACGGGACTGCAAAGACTAGGGAGGGACAAAACACCGGCAAGGAAGGGCAGGGTACCAGTATGGCGGGCGAGGCCAGTAGCTCTGAAGGCGGCCTTAGGAAGATAGAATCGTCCCTCGCGCGAGCACTGAACAAAAACCAAGGCTACCTCGCGGACGCTAAGAAAAAGTTGACATTTGATGGGGCAAACATCACGGAGTTCCTAATAGATTACAAGAACCTGGCTGCGTTGTTGAAATGGACCGAAGAAGAAAAGATGAACCACCTGGGGCGACATGTGTCATTGAGCCTGGGGCGGGACATAATGGCCATCGTAGCCGCGAGTCGATTCTGGAAGGAAACCCCGGAGGTAATGATGAGGAAGTACTTGGCAGCGGAGAAAATGGCAACGGAGGCAGACTTAGCAGCAATTCAGAGGAAAAACTTCGCAACGTACAATGACTTCCTACGGGAGTTTACCCTGGTAGCACTAAGGATAATTGGGGTTACGGACCAGATAATGAGCAAATACTTCCTCAGGCAGTTCTCCGAGTTCGACAAAGACAAAATCCTGTCGGCTACCAACAGACGAGCAACTTTGTAAACACGAGGGATGTTGATTTCAGTATAGTAACAGATCTGGCCGAGAAGACAGCAGTGACCGAGACATTGGCCTTGCTCAAGGAAGGGGAGGTCATAGATCTGACTGGTAGGACAGGCGACAAGGTAAAGAAGGGGATTGAAAGTCTACATGAACGCGTGCACAGAGTCGACCACAAGATTGAAAGGGTGGAGAACGCGCTGCTGGTTATGCACGCGCAAGTATCCCGACCCACCCTCCCTCCCCAGGAAGCCGTAGTTCTGCCAGGAGTAGCCAACCGAGGATTCGGACGGAGAGATCCCGCTAATGAGCAATGCAGGTACTGCACTGCGGTAGAAAGAAGATGTACTAGATCATTAAAGGGATACATATTCGGACCACAGGGAGAACGAGTGAATTGGAACTCACCAAAGGGGATGCGGCGAACCATTATCATGCTCAATGGGTTAGAGATAGCAGAAGTAGAGGTTGAGTCGGTGGTTAATATCATCTGGGATCAACTTCGGGGCCGCGGGCCGCAGGTCAACTTCATTTTGCAAAGCGACAGACGTGATAGGGTGAACGCGACTACTCGGCTAGGGATGGCTGAGAGAAGGATTATCCGTGACACCGTGATGGAGGAGGTTGCTGGAGGCTCCGTACCCCAGGCAGAACCCGAGGCCGGGGAACCAGAGAAAGTTTATGGGAAGCCTAGGGAAGAGGAGCCCACGGACAAGGTTACCGCTGCTAGAAGAAGTTTAGGTATCAAATCTCGATCTTAACCATGCCTGAGATCGATGCCACCCTAGTAAATTACTAGGAACCATGGTGTCGGTGTCGTTTCAAACCATGCTGCAGGCCAGCCCTAGGTTGCTCAAAGGGCTTAAGACAACTGTTGACTCGGCGGCGTGTAGAGATACACGAAAACCCCGAATCACTAAAAGAGGAAAAAGAGGAGGAAGCTCCGCAAGAAGTCGCTAACCTTCAAAGGAGTCACGGGGATTTGGAGGATTTCGAGAAGGCCTTTGCAGACATCCACCAGAGCTAGCCGGACCGAGAAGGTGGCGAGGTCATGAGGGTACCTCCCGGGACGAAGCTTAGCTTCCATGCGCTGCCCGTAGGAAAGTTGAAAATCCAGATCGGGACTCGTCATATCGACGCATTAGTAGACGGGGGAGCGAAAATCGCTCTCATAAGGAGAGATTTCGCAACAATCACGGGTTGTACGGTAAATAAGGAAGTAACAGGGAGCATCCGGGGAGCCGGTGGGGAAATTTCGTTCGCTGGGTATGTCACGAAATGTGCAGTCAAGGCAGGAATCAGGGAGTCGATCTGGTCGTTTCAGCGAACGACCGTAATGAAGGAAATGGACCACGACATAATTCTCGGGAGACCATGGTGCGCCAACGTAGAAATGATAGACATGCACTTGCACGATGGGACGTACATGGTAGATATAGAGGACCCAGTGACCGGCCGGGGGGAGTTTCTCCGACTCCTTGGGACGGGAGGGGACCCTCCGAAGGGGAAGTTAGCAACATGGTCGCCATCGTTCGAAGATAGCGCGCGGAAGGGGGCTTTTGCGCGGATGGAGGGTACGGGAGAAAGGGTAGAAATTATGATTGAGGAGGCATTCAATAAGAAAGAAGGGATCAAGATGGGCCTGCCCCAGAAGAAGAGAAGGGAGGAGGACGAAGTCTTAGGTGTTATGGTGGCAGAAAGGGAATCAGAAGGCGAACTCGGAGCCAGCCTGCCCAGACGGAAAGAAGTGTGGAAGGAGTTACCGGAAAGCGCACTCGAAATCCCCGACGTACTGCAACTCATCAAAGCTATCAGGTATCACAAAGTAGGGGTGGATCCGGCGGCGCTGGCCAAATTTGAAGGAGAAGTATAAAAAGGGTATATCTGAATGGGAAAATAGTCAGTATTCAGCCACGGGTCGCAGAGGCAACATGAGTAATCCCGACCTTTCATTTTTTAGGAGAAAGATCCCGGAAGGAAGTGTTCGAAAGTACAAGCCAGTAGGAAAAAAGGCGAAACTGGTCTCGATCCTGCTAGAGACATCTAAGGAAGAGGTTATGGAGAAGGAGGAGGAAGTCTTTCGAGTGATCCGAGAGAGGCGAGCGACGGAAGGGCATCGGATACCGGATGAGGTAGGTGATACAATGAAGATAGGAATAAAGGGATTCCTAACGGAAGAAGGAACCCTCCTGACCAGAAGGACGTGCCAGGAGTTTCATCTGGCATTTGCCTTTAGTGATCACCAAAAGGGGCGGCTAGACGCGAAGCTAATTCCCCCGGTCTGAATCCACACGGTAGAACACGAGTGTTCGAATGACAAGGGGTCGTTCTATGAGTTTGGGATAGCAGGGGAAGTACAAGACCTTCGACGAGCAAAGATGGATTCCTTCGTCGCAGAACCTACGGCGTCGCCATATGCGAACCGGTGGTTCGTCTTTCGAAAACCTAACAAGACGTTGAGATGGATTCAAGAACTGCAGAAGTTGAATGCAGTAACCATCCGGAATGCTGGTTCGCTACCTCAGGCCGATTTATTAGCAGAGTCGCACGCCGGCCGGAGCATTTACTCCATGATAGATATGTACTCAGAGTACGACCAGCTTCCATTGGATGTTCGGGACAGACCGTACACCGCAATGCACACCCCCGTAGGACAGCTGCAGATGCAGTGCAGGTGACCCCTATGGGCTTTACGAACGTAGTAGCCGAAGCACAAAGGAGAATGCTCGCCGTAGCTGGAGACAGGTTCCCAGAGAAGTGTGAGCCCTACATCGATGACAACCCGATGAAAGGCGCTCAAGAGAAAGAGACAGAAGTCCAACCGGGAATCCGAAGATTTGTATGGGACCATCTACAGGACATCAAGGACTTACTCCGTCGATTCCTAGTATACAACATCACGGTTCGCGGACCAAAGAGTATTCTAGCAGTACCGGAAGTAACCATACTAGGATTTCGCTGTGGCGCATACAGTAGGAAGCCAAATCCGCGGAAGACAGACAAGATATCAAAGTGGCCAACACCCCTGCACACGACAACAGAGGTAAGAGCATTCTTAGGCGTGGTCGGCTTTTGGAGGATTTTCATTAAAAGTTCTGTCAAAATTGCTGAGCCTATTCGGGCCATAATCAGAGAAGAATGGACCATGGATTGGACGGAGGAGCGAGAAGGAGCCGTCCAAACCCTCAAGGACATACTGACATCTGAGCGAGTCGCCTTGTCAACACCCTGTTTTAATGACGAAGTGGGATGACCATTCATCCTAGAAACGGATGGAGGACCCTTGGCCGTAGGAGGCGTACTGATTCAAAGGGATGAGGAAGGAAAAGAGAGGCCAATAAGGTTCAAAAGTAGAACCCTGAACTCCGCAGAACGGCGGTACTCACAGTTCAAGAAGGAGGTCCTAGCCATCTTGCATTGCCTCAAGACCTTTCAGGCCTACCTATTTGGGAGGCGGTTCATCCTAAGGATCGATCCGACGAATGACGCAGGAGCCTTAAAGAATTACAGGCCTATAGATCCGACAGTGGGGAGATGGGTAGGATTTATCTGGCAGTTCGATTACAAGATCGAACGAATTGCTGAAATCAGAAAAAAGGCCGATGGGCTGAGTCGGGTCTGCATCACTCCCGAAGGGGTGGAGGATGCGGAGCCCATAAACGCATTCCTTGAATACGAAGGAGGAACTCTTGTGGTGGATAACGAAATGATGGGCGAAGAATGCGCGTCGGGAGAACTGTTGATCCGGACTTTGGATAAGGGGGCACCTGCCGTTAGAGAAGGACCAGTCACCACTCAAGGTCGCAAAGAGGAGAAAGATTTGTGGGGAGCGATAGTAGGACCGAAGGAGGAACTAATAGCAATGGCGGTTGAGGGAGGCCGGGAAGCCGTGATGAGCCTAGTGGACTTTTGGGAAAGGAAAGAGTTGCGGTGGATGGTAAACCAGATGCAGGAGAGAAAGGACGAGGACCAGGAAGGGAAGGAGTTTTTCTATGCTCAGATACACGAAGGGATTCTTCGGGAGATTGGGTTGTTGCTGGTAGGAAACAAACAACACATGGAAGTCAGCATTAAAGCAAGGGAGGAGGCCGAGAGGTACGTCCTAAGGGATGGCCATCTGTTCGGAAGGGAGGACGGTGCTATGCCTAGAAGAGTTGTGTGCGGGAGATCTAGGCAGTTGGACGTTATCCAGGCAATGCACGACGGACTAGTAGGAGGACATCGATCATCTAAAGGAACTCTTGCGAAGATAACGCCGCTCTATTATTGGTCAGGCATGGCAGGTATGGTCACCACGTACTGCCAGACCTGCCTAATCTGCCAGGAACGGAGCTCAGCACGCGTCTTTGAACCGCTTAAACCAACGCGGGTGTTGGGGCCGGGACATCTGGTCCACCTTGACCTTGCGGTCATGCCTATATCAACAGATGGGTACAGGTATATCCTGGATGCGCGAGACAACTTGAGTGGGTTCGTGGAGGCGGTCGCTCTCAAGAAAAAGACGCGGAGAAGTGTAGCGGATTGGATAGAAGACTTCTACTTAAGGCATCCCTTCATCAAGAGGTTTATAGCGGACAATGGGACAAAATTTGTAAACCAAGAAGTGTTGGGAATGCTTAAGAGGCTCTGTGTACCGATCAAACTCATCGAGCCATATCACTCGGAGGCCAATGCACCTGTGGAAAGAGGGCACCGGACCTTAAAGAACACAATTGCGAAGCTCGCGGCGGACAATCAGGGGAGTTGGCCTAGGTATCTTAAGCAGGCGGTCTTCTCAGAGAACATGACACCTAAGAGGACAACGGGACGTATCCCAGCGGAACTTTGGTACGGAAGAGAGATCGATTTTCCCGTGGAAGCCTTGATACCAACCTGGAACAGGTTAGATGACGATCCGCATATGACCACAGAGGAATTGATTGAGGCAAGAAGTCAACAAGTTCTTAGGAGCAAGGAGGTCATGGAAGACATCGCCAACCGGGTACTAGCACAGAATGAGGGACAAAGCAAGGTGGGACCAGGTTAAGAATGTCAGAAAGGAGCCACTTCAGGTGGGGGAGACAATATTGCTAAGGAACTCAGCACTAGAAAGTGCTTGGTTTGAACAACTGGGGAGGAGGTTCAAAGGCCCCTACCGGGTCGTCAAGCGGGTGGGACTGAACACCTCCGACCTGGAGGATTTGGATGGAGCTGGATTGAAAGGACCCTTTCCGGAGCAACGATTGGTCAGGTTAAGTCGGGACCCAGTAGAACAATGGATTCAGGAGACCGAGGATAAGGAAACTGAGGGGCTACAAGCTAAGAACTGACAACGGCCTTGCCCACACTATGGTTTTGTCTCTGACTGCGTCTGTGGGACTGTCATTTTTTTGGGGTTGGGGCAATGGTTTGGACTGACTGAAGTTGGAAGGCGGGATGTCTTGGGACCTTGCGATAACGGGTTTTGTGTGACGACGGGAAAAGATTGTCGGGAGCAGTGTATCATAGTTTTGATGGGGAAATAATGGGATCATCACAAATGGGGCATTTGCATGAGAAGGGAATGTATAATAGTGGCATGATGCGAAGGGTACTGGGAGCATTCTGGGGAAAGGGCAATTGCCTACCGGACTGGGGGAACGTGTGTATGAGGGGCTTAGCGGGTGTTGTTTTGTTATACAGGACCAAGGAGAAAAACACGAGAAAAGCAAAATGGAATTCGGCAATGAGATGATAGCGGGGCAATCAACAGACCTACCGAAGAGGGAGGAGCGAGGCCAAGTCGAGAGCGGAGGACTGTCAAGAGAAAATTGTACATAGGGTTCATGTCCATGCAAGTGGTAGGCAGGGGTGCGAGAAAGTGCGTGTGTAGAGGACCTTCGCCTCTCTGGGAGGGAGAAGGTATATATATATCATCCGGGAGTGAGAGCGAGGAGGAAAGGGCGAGTGTGGGAGAAGGGGCCAGAGCGGAAGAACAAAAGACTCGAGACTCTGACGTAAGAGGGGCCGAGAAGTGCGACCAGCACGAGCCTTGGCATGAGGTGAACGAGGGGAGACATGACAGATGCAACGGACGTGAGGATGAGGAAGAGAGAAGGGAAAGCCTACATGAAGAGCGGGGCGGTCATGGCAGTTGTGAAGGGATATACCTGAAATTTGAAGAGGGATATGGAAGGAGGACAGAGATGCCCTATAGCTTCGACCCGAAGAACTTGACGGGTGGGTACAACCCCATATAGGCGGAAGAAGAGGTGGATGAGGAGGAGGAAGTACAGGAGGTCATAAAAATCAACAGTGGCGATGAGAGGGATGAAATCTCAAGGCCTAGAGAAGAGAGGCGGCCCCCGATACACCAACCGCGCAAAGAGGCTTTCAGATGGGAGGATGAGTTTGAGCCAACGCCCAGTCATTGGTTTCAATAATGGCTCAGTGTGATCAAACATGATTGGATTATCAAGACCCCGGAACTCGCGAAGGTAGGGGTTGCGCCCACACCTTTGGATTTCTACAGTGAGATGGAGTTGCGAGAGATTGCGAGGAGGAAGAGAGAAATCATGGCCTCCAGCCTGGGAGTTAAAAAGCCAGCAGAAAGACAAGATGAACAAGAGACCGAGCGAGTTGAGGCACATGACAGCAATAGGGAGTAAATGTTGTGAAGTGTTGAACAAGAAATTGTGATGTCCTTTTGCAAATATGGGATGACAAAGTTTGTATAGTACGAGTAAGCTTGTGAGGAATGAGGGATAAAAGGACTAGCTAAGACTGTGTCACGATGGGTTAGAAGATAGCATTTTGAGGCTACTTTCTGGATGAGCTACCTTCGAAAGTGTGTATACAAGACAATGGCACGGGGCATGGGATGAGACTGGTTGGGAAGGGTGTATTGTGAACCTTGGATGGAATGAGGATTGTGCCTTTGAGAAGAAAAAATGCGAGTACAGATTGATGAGCAAAGCAAGACATGAATGTTGGTAGAGTACAAGAGAGGTTAGCGAACCTATGGGTTAAGGGGCGTGAAGAACACTCCTTCCCTAGGAGCCTAATCCAACTGAGTCATGAATGAGTCTGAGAATAGCCAAGATCTGAGAAACCAGAAAGAGTGAAAATAGAGGGGGTGCCCCGGTCTTTTGCTATGGTTGAACGGCCGGGTGGGCTAGTGCTACTTGGGGTTGTGAGCCTCAATTTGAGCACTAGACGCTAAGTCGGATGTTGGCATGGACAGCAAATGACATTGAGAAATGGACAACGGGAATCGCACGCATGAAATTGCAAGAGGTGGCCACCTTCTAACCCCCGAGACAGAAATGGGATCCGTATTCTCGAGGCCCACCCCCTCGGGTCGCTAACATTGAGAATGGAAAGGAATGGCCCTAACCAGGCTGTTCGACTTGAGAATGGAAAGGAATGACCCTAACCAGGCTGTTCGACTTGAGAATGGAAAGGAATGACCCTTACCAAGCTGTTCGACTTGAGAATGGAAAGGAATGGCCCTAACCAGGCTGTTCAAATTGAGAATGGAAAAGAATGACCCCAACCAGGTTGTTCGGAAATGGCCCCTGACAAGGGTCATTTCTTTTGTAATAGGCACTGTGGTCCCCTGCATGATTGATTGAGAAAGGTTGACTGAGAATGAGCTGAAATGAGCGATGTGAAATGGAAAAGGCCAATGGATCGATCATTGAAATAGCCATAAGGATGAATGAAAGACAATGATGCGTTGAAAAAGAGAAGGGCGGGATAAAAAAGGCCGAGCCTTAAAATCGAGAAGGGCATAGACCGTTGGGACGTTCATAAGGAATGGATATTGGGGAATGTGAAAGATGAGAATTGAAGGTAGGCCGACGGGTCGACTTTAAAAGATGGCTATTGAAAGAGTAACCACCAGATCGGTCGCGAGGGGTGGCCTTGTTGAAGAGAGGCTGTCGGACCAGCCATGAGAAGCCAGCTTTGAGAAAGGACTGGAAACAGCATTGGATTGAGTGATTGAGAATTGGATATTGCATTGCGTAAGTCAGGGGACCCTAGGCAATTTGAGGAAAGGTCGTCGGACTGACCATGGAAATAGCAAGACATTGAGTTTTCCTTTCTTTATAGTCTCAGGTCTCAACATGAGGGGGATAGCGATGCATGCACCACGACCCCAAGACCTCTACCCATCAAGGAAAAAGTCCCAGCGCGACCTATTCCTCATAAGGAAGGATAAGGGTTGAAGGACCAAGGCATTGTCCTCTTTGATCGATGCTCGCCGTCCGGAACTACCCCCGACAACAAGCTCTAGTCGGGGAGTTCAAACTGCGCCTCGTATCGAAAACCTAAACGTCAAGGGCGTGAAGCCAAACGGGCGAGAGAGCCATTCTTTTTCCTAAGTCTCATTTTTTTTTCTCCCCAACCACACGCCATACCGTAGAGGGGCGTCGTGGCCGTTTGGGATGGACCAAGGTTGCTCGCATTAAGTTGAGTGGCACTGTCCAGAGGGAGGGGTCGGGCGTCGTACCGGGTGGAAGCCGCAACCACCACGGGGCGAGTGACAGCGCCCTGCCAGATCATTACAACCGTTCCGGGACTAACCGCGAGGTCTTCGTAATTGCACTCGCTGACTAACAGAGAGTCCCAACTCTCTTGAAAGGAAGAGGCCGGATACAAGGAAATACCACTTGGGAGAAACGATTTGCGAGGGGCCCTGGGAGGCGTGGATTGGACCCGCCTAACAGATGCGAGGAAACACCTCAATGATAATGCCCATCTACAGAGAAGTGGCCGCCGAACTAGAGTAGGGGATAAGGTGAGTTATCAGCGGGGGAGGACTGATCACCCTTCCGTTTTGAGGCTGATGGGCCGACATCCGGCTACTCAGTTGACAGGGCAAGGTCTGCCTACCTCCAAGTGAGAACCAGTCGTGCGATGGGGACATCGCATTTTGAGTGAGGGGAAGGTGTGCCATCTACCAATGAAAAAGCGTGTAGAAATTGTGTAATTGACTTTGCGCAGGCTTGAAAAAAGGTCTGGCAAGATGTCCAAAAGAGAAATGGATGCGTAATTGACTTTGCATAGGCTTGAGAAAAGGTCTGGCAAGATGTCCAGAAGAAAAAGACATGTGTAATTGACTTTGCGTGGGCTTGGGAAAGGTGTGGCAAGAGGTCCAGAAGAAAAAAACATATGTAATTGACTTTGCGTGGGCTTGAGAAAGGCCTGACAAGATGTCCAGAAGAGAAAGACATGTGTAATTGACTTTGCGTGGGCTTGNAAAAACATATGTAATTGACTTTGCGTGGGCTTGAGAAAGGCCTGACAAGATGTCCAGAAGAGAAAGACATGTGTAATTGACTTTGCGTGGGCTTGAGAAAGGCCTGGCAAGATGTTCAGAAGAGAAAGACACCTGTAATTGACTTTGCGTAGGCTTGAGAAAGGTCTGGCAAGATGTCTAGAAAGGAAGGCATGTGTAATTGACTTTGCATGGGTCTGAGAAAGGCCTGGCAAGATACCCAGAAGAGAGAGGCATGTGTAATTGACTTTGCATGGGTTTGAGAGAGGCCTGACAAGATGTCCAGAAAAGAAAGGCATGTGTAATTGACTTTGCATGGGCTTGTGAGAGGCCTGGCAAGGTGTCCAGAAGAGAAAGGCATGTGTAATTGACTTTGCATGGGCTTGTAAAAGGCCTGGCAAGATGTCCAGAAGAGGAAGGCACGTGTAATTGACTTGCGTGAGCTCGAGAAAGGCCTGGCAAGATGTCCAGAAGAGAAATGAATGTGTAATTGACTTTGTATGGGCTTAAGAAAGGCCTGACAAGATGTCCAGAAGAAAGACGCATATGAAATAGACTGGGTAACATGTATGTAAAATTGATTGAGCTTGGGTACAAGAAAGGTCGAATGAGGGAGACATGCATGTGAAAAGGCAGGACTAAAGAAAGGCCGGGCAGAATAACCTGAAAGAAATACACGGGGATTTGACTGAGCTTGAGATCGAGGAAAGGATAACGGGAAGCATGGATTGCACGGGCCGAAGAGCCGAGTAGAAGAGGCATTAAGGGTGACGGAGGTCGAAAAAGGGACCTGGTTGTCACGGGATGGAAGGAGGATCAGCCAAAGGGCGCCTGGGACGGCAAGGCTCGAGGGAGAAGCAGGGGCAGCAAGAAAAGGAGAGGTGAAAAGAGGCTTGATGTACTTCGGGTGATGAATGAGACGAAAGGAGGCTTGATGTACTTCAGGTGATGAATGAGATGAAAGGAGGCTTGATGTACTTCGAGTGATGAATGAGACGAAAGAAGGCTCGATGTACTTCGGGTAATGAATGAGACGAAGAGGATCTGATGTTCTAAGAGTGATGAATGAGACATGGAAAGCCTGAAGGACAAAGAAAGTCTGAATCCTACACATCTCTTCCCGCTCCGAGGACCGGAGACTAGAAGAAATCCGAGAAAGGAACAAGAAAAGACAAAACGGACCCTGACAAACTAACCACCTATGACATTTCATCCTCCTCTCCCGTCTATCCCTTCGAACCCCACTGACAGGAGATTGGTGCGCGATGAGGACATCGCGAATGAGTGGGGGGGGCGTCTGGATCCGCCATTTCATGCGTGGCCATTATGTCCATGGCCTTGTTCACATCAGACAAGCTGAGTGAGAACGCTTCTTCCCTCACTTCTTCCTCAGGCTTTGCCATAAGCCTTCTATGCTCGTTTTCTGACTCTTCAATAGTGAATGAGCCAGGATTGGGCCTGTTCCTTAAGCTTCGCGGCCCAGTATTTCGGCAGGTAATTACCTCGTAATTCTGACATGTTGGGTCACATAAGATCAGGATCAGCGACCCATCATGCTTGTTGTACATCAGGGTGTCTGTCCAACATAAAAAGGATCTCCCCAGGAGAATGTCATGGTCCACATCTGGCATTACGAAAAAACAAGTCCTGGCTTTTACTCTTCCAATCTCTAGGAGCACATTCGAGGCGGTCCCACAGAACACGGCCTTGCAGTTTGCCTTGTGTAAAATACCGCAGTCTGAACGGTCAATGTCCACCCCATACTTAATTGCGTCAGCTTCGCGGATGATATTCATCTCCGCTCGCGTATCCACCATTGCTACGCACTTGGAGCCTTTTACCACTAAGTCCACCATGCCGCAGGCCACACATTTCCAGTCCATCTTCGTTCCCGGGTCCGCCCACTCCACTTGCTTAGGCAGAATCACACTACGGTGGACGCTCGGCACCAACCGCCTCGGAAGCCTACCCTTTAGCTCATTGCGGAGCCTTGGGGCAGACGCCAGAATCTCCTTTAGGGTCATAAGATAAGTATGCCCCTCCAGCAGCCTGTCAATCACTCTTTCCACATCAAAACCTTCCTCAAGCCGGACCGCGTATTTCTTCTTCTTTGGCGCTACGTCGCGCAGGACTGGCTCAGCTTCTTCCTGGGAACCTCTCTTCCTCGCCCTCTGTTCGGCCCTCCAGTCTTCCTCTTGCCGGAGCTTCTCATCCTCTTCATCATCATCGTCCTCTACCTCCACATGCTCCTTTCTACGTTCTGGCTGTGGCTCTCTCTGAGGCGAGTCCTGGCCTGCCCTCGCCTTTGCTTGTCCCCTAGTCCGTGCGGCCAACGCGGCTCGGGCCAACGAAGTAGGGGGCCTGTGGGTCATTTCAGACCTAGGCCCTGAACTTACCGTGGTAACTCCTGGGTATCCTTGCCTTCCTGGCATGGATTCAGGACCTGAGTCATATAGGAAGACTTTAGGGATACCATCTCTCCAACTCTCTACTTCTTCACACATATCGATCAGATTTTGCCGATACCGGTCCATTTTGTCCCACAAATCTTCCATTTTCCCCAAAAGGACCGACGCTGGCTCAACCATTTCACCCTCACTCTCGTCGTCTGATTTTATGACTATAGGCTCCTCCTTTATGACCCCCGACTGTAGTCTTTGAATCACCTCCTCCTTGCCATCCACTTCTTCTACTCCTATTGGCGGGTCATCCCTCTCCTGCCACAATCTGAAAGTGGCAGGCGACGCTTGTCGTGTTGCTACCCTTCTTAGAGCTTCTGCCCTTACTCCGCCAGGGACCTTCCTGTCAATATGCTCCCCCAACCGATGATATATATCCCCATCCATGTTGGAGTAGATCAATCCCACTCTTTCATCTTCCCGCCTAGTATTGCAGAATCGTATGGTATGACCCTGTTTATCACAATGCTGACATATGGCGGTCCTCCGATCGAACCGGGCTCTGCCATACCCTTTGACCTCCTTGATTCTCTTGGCTTTGGTGGCCCTGGTTATCCCAGCGCCCTCCTCCTCGGCCTCCGCCGTTTTTGCCGCGCCTTCTTCCACCACCTCTCCCTCCATTCCCTTGGTTACCCTGACCCTGGTCTCCTCCTCCTGCCACGCTACCTTGTGAACTCGGCGCGGGCGGCGGAGGCGGTACCATGGGTTGGGCCTATGCCGCGGGGAAACTTGGTGGTGGCATACTTGTTTGGGGCCCCGCATAAGGTATCATTTGCCCAGATGGGGCCGGGCTCCCCCATGGCACAAAAGTGTTGAATATAGGCCATGGCCACTGCCCGAATGGCGGTACTGCTGCTTGTGAGGGTCCCGCACTACTTGACGGTACCGACGCGCTTGGTGATGCTACCACCACGGCTTGGGGCTCTTGCCCCTTCCCTGAACCTTGCCCCCCTTGTGCTAAGTTGCGCTGCTTACGTAGCGCTTTCGAGAGGTGTTGGGGCACCGGCTCCTCCTCTTCCCACTCTTCCTGGACATCTTCCTCTATTAGTGGAACTTCCCCCTTGCCTTGGACTGCTGTCACTACTTTCCTTTGAACCACTGTGTCTTTTCCATAGCCGAATTCCACTAGTACCTCAGTGACAATCCTCCTTACTCCAGGGGTTCCGGACGCTGTGGCGTCCCTCTCCTTCCTCTTACGCCTTTGCAGGCGCATCTGGTGTTGTTCCACTTCGTGCAGGCTTCCATCTGCCATGCCTTTATCAATAGTGGCCCACGTGAGTTTCTCACTCCCTCCTCCATGGCTCGTTAGTTCCGCAGCCTCCGCGGCGGTGAGCAGCCCCAGAAAGATAGCACATTGGGCTTCCTCTGAGATGCCATGAACTTTTCTCGCTTTCTTCTTGAATTCCTGCAAGAACGCCCCCACTGTGGTGAAGTCGTCCCTGTTCATGGCTTCTAGGTCTGTTGTGGTCAGCAGTCCATCGCCCAGCCTATACTTCCTCCGCATCCCATCTTTAAATCGGGCCCAACTGCCATTGGCCGCGTTTACAACCTTCTCCACCTCCTGATGGTGGACATGAAGTACATACTTCAGGATGCGATTGAACTTTACTTCATCTGGTAAACCCACCAAGGTTTGCTCCACCAAGTCTAACCAATCAGAGACCCGTTCCCCATTGAAATGGAAAGTGTCAACTTTGGGGACATTGCTTGGTGTCCTTTCCTGCTTATCCAATGCCTCAGCGAGGTCCTCAAGTGTCAGGACTCTCCCCTCGCCATCTGCCATCGGCCCCGACATTTTCGCGGGCTGTCTTTACTCGCCTTTCCATGTTTTAAGAAAACCACACCACTTTGTTCAGCAATGGGATCCGATCACATCCCATACTAGACCTCTACCATAACTAGCCAATGGCTCAGGCCTAACAGGTCCTACCTTATTTCTATTACTAGGAACTTATCTTAGTACCCCCATTTCCCCCCCTATAGGGTCTCCTTCATAATTTCCTAACCCAAGCAATCAATCAGTTCAACGATAACAATTATTATAACGGTTGTTCCATCATAAGTAATCCGGCCGGATATTATGTACTCTGTCCTTTGTGCCTATCTCCTCTCTCATAATTATACCCGGAAGTCATTCCACCAGGGACAACGGTAGGCAGCCGTTATCCCCGGCAACGGCGCCACCTGCCGGGCGCATCGGTCCGGCACCACACAAGGCAGCGCGGGACCCTCCTGGCCTCGTCACGCAGGAGTTGGTATGAATCCTCGTCGCAAATATACATGCAGCTTCCGCAAGCCGCTCCGGCCGAGTGCGCCAACCATATTTCTCGCGAGCCCCTACGACAGGATAGGGCTAACGCGAGGCACGACTTACCTCCACCTTACGGGAGGTGTCACCTCCTTTTGGTGGGCGTGTCCCCGCCGAGCTACCAGTCCACAGTACGAAAGCTAATTAGGTGCAATCGCAGAGGTGGACCAGCCGAGGGCATTTCTCGTTCGCTGTAGCATAGGGGGTACGCGCGGTATTACGCCTCTATCGGACCCGCACGCGGACCGGCATCTTGGGGGGCTGAGGTCCCAAGCGCCGCTCGTCGCCGGTCGACTAGGACGCATCCCACACACCACGCGCACACCACTGTAAGGAACATAAAAATAAAAATACACATACGTACATATACACAAAACAACACAGGACAAACAACGCGACCACGCTCTCCCTCGATAGCCGTCTCATAACTTTCTGATGCGGAAACCAGACAGGCGTCGCGCGCAAGACTTAGTATAAAACCGCGCGGACGCAACGCCTACTCATATCGATTCGCAATGCAAGCATGCGCATGCAGTCGTAGTGATGGCGTACTATGTACTGCCCATAGTCAAGCGGTCCCTCGTGGATCCGAGTACCGCTTATGACACTCAAGTGTAAGACTCAAAGTATCGTGAGGGTCTACTCCCTCACGATATTGCACGGCTGAAGGAATAGTCGTGCGGCCGCTGCGAGACCGTAGGCTTTTGGCTTGAGTATCTTGGCAGGCAAGGCAAATAGGCCCTGCCCGGGGGGTGGTTCCTTTCGAGCAGAGTCTAGGGTCTGGGACGTCCTGGACAAGGACCTCGAATCCCGGCCCAGGACCAACGTCCGACTAAGAATTCTTCAAGAAGCATATAAACAAGATAGAGGGGGTTTTCCCCTTTTTCCCAATCTCAACCCCTAATTAAGTCCATAATACGCGGACCCCTCAGGCCGCGCGAACATCCAACATAGGTACGCACATATATATATAATATGGGGAATAAGTACGTGGCGATCACTTTTCACAATCACAGTGGAGCTCCTCACAACCATATGTATATGTGTGATCGCAGGCAGTCAAATCCAAAATCCGAACCACAGAACATACCTATAATCACAACAAAGAGTCAAACAAGAGTCCACACACTACACGGAGTCAACCTCAACCACTCTCTATACTCATACCCCTCGCTTCAGCCATGCAAGCCCCAGCCTCCTGTCCAACCAACCATAATTAAATACTTTGTACCTTTGTTAAATGGCCATTCAATAAAAGTTCGGGTGTAACCTTAACAAAACAATAAAATCACGAGGGCTAAAGCCTTTTAGGTTGAGTATTGATCTTAATTTCACCAAGGGTCATTTTATCTAACTAATCCCGGGTCTATCCTTAAACCAACGCCTAAGGAAGGCCTTTTGGAAGAATCTCCTCTATATAGAGTGAACTGCCAAAACTGCCACCTGAGGCATCTCAGCGTACGATCGCGCGCTAACAAAAAAAACGCTATTTGGAAAATAGTCTCAATAGCCTTTTGGAAAATAGTCTCAATGGCACCAACTCCTCTAAATTTGGGAAAAATTCGGCAGCGCTTCCCGTAGGAAAAGTGCCTTCGCAAAATTTATAATAGTCCATGTACGATAAGAAAAATAATCCCCAACTCTGGAAAGTACAAATTTGTCTAACTTCCTGAATTAGTAAAAATTTGGGCAGCACTTCCTCTAAAAAGGTAGACTTCCCAAATTTGTACTAAGTCAGATATGAACTTGAAATCGATTCATGAGCTCAACTTAAGACAAAATTTGACTAACCCCTTAGATTTGTAGAAATTTCGACAGCGCTTCGCGTAAAGAAAGTGCTATACCAATATTTATACAGAGCAAAAGTCAGAAAAGTGACTTTGACTTTAAAGTTCAATTTTGCCTAACTCCTCAAAATAGCAAAAGTGTGGGCAACACTCCCTTTAGAAAGGGAAAATCTCCAGATTTTTACTAAGCCATAACAGTTAGACAGGCTGAACTTTGAATAGACAAAATCTAACTAACTCCTTGGTTTTGTAGAAATTTTCGGCAGCGCTTCCCGTAGAGAAAGTGGCTTACCAAGATTTGTACAAGACCAAGAATAACAAATGATCCCAGAAGATGCAGAAATTGACCCAAGTAAAAATAAACTTAATCCAGAAAATGCAGGAATTGAAACCAACTCCTATGGCTCTAGCACGTAACGAGCAACTAAAGCAACTACCTATCAAACTTAAACTCAGACTAACTAGTAGTCGTACTCGGTTACATGCAGGCCAAACCACAAAAGTAAGTATTCTCACCATCCCAAGTTATTTCCCATAAGATAGTTCACGAGTCTTCAGATACTTTATCCCTTGTACCCTGCTTACATATGGCACCAATGCTAGACCATTCGGCTTGGAAACAATGTCCAGCGTGCCTTAGGATATACACGAACAGGTTGCACTACTACTTTTCTTTTCTTGGGGCATTTGACTAGACCATTCGGCTTGGAAACAATGCCTAGCCGCCCTGAACTGTTTAATATCCAAAGTTTAATAATTCTCTGACTTCGTTCTCAAAAGAAGATGCAAATATGGGCAGGTGACTGAACCATTCGGCTTGGAAACAATGATCATCTTGCCCAGTCTATTTCCAATTATACTTCGTAATTTCCTTTCTCTTCTTAGTGATATAGCTTAACGCTGGGCCATTCGGCTTGGAAACAATGCCCATCTGCCAGTTCACATGCAAATATATGTAAAATACTTTCTTTTATACTCAGGTTGTACTTATGTGCGTGGTTTTCAGGCTAGGCCATTCGACTTAGAAACAATGCCCAACCTTAGACCAAAAATCCTCCCTCAGAATAAAATAAGAAAACCCTTTTACATAAGGCCAACCCTCAGAAAATAAACATTGCAACCAGGCCATTCAACTTAGAAACAATGTCTGGCCCTTCAGAAAACAGTCAAATAAACATAGCCCTGGGGCATTCAGCTTAGAAACAATGCCCAGTCCTTGGTTGACCCGGTCAAACGCACGCAGTCTGCCTTCCTCCCACCTTCCCCCAATTCATCCTTAGTCTGCTTTCAGTCAAAATAAAGAGAAACTTAAGCTTCACACGCACACATTCTTTCCATTCAATCTGATTAGCCCTGAATAGAAAGCAAGAATCATAGGGAGAGTCTCATGCATACATCAACCAAACTAAGGGGGAGATAAACAAACAAGGGTATAGTGGGTCATATAGATAGAAAGATGATATACCTGATGGTTCCCTGCCTCCAGAACCTCGACTAGGTTCCGGCAGAGCTCCCGCAATCGGTAGGTGGACTCCCCACAGAGTCTTGACGCTGTCCTACGGGTTGCAATCCCGCCTGCTGCCTTCCTCTCGTAACCAACAGACTAGACTTAGAGTGAGAAGGGCAGATAGAGAAATGTTTGAAACTCTCAGATCCAAGGGCGGTGCACTCAGACTCGTGAGAGAGGGCCTTGGTTCCTTGATGCGCCTGAGGGCCCCGCAATGATGGCCTGACTGCAGCCGCTTGATCAAAACCCGAAGTCAAACTGTTGAAGTCAACTCCTTGATGCCCTCTTCATATCGCCACAATGACCCCCCCTTCACAGTCTAACCGTCGCTCTGAGTTCCAGCACCTCTCCTTAGCCCAAACCGCCACTGCATAACACCCTGTAACAGTCAGCCGTTGTATGCAGCTATATGCAACAGCTAGCAGCAGGCAGCAGCAGTAGCAGTCACCGACAATTGGCCACCGTTTGTACCCAGTCAACAGAAGCAGCAGTCGTGCACAGCCAAAAAGACAGCATCAATCGTTTACGCAGAGCCAACAGAAACAGCAGCCGTGCACAGCCAAAAACAGCAGCAGCCGTTTGCGGCCGTCAGCCGCAGTATGCAGCATTAGTTCATGCTAAGTCCACAGGCGCAGCAGCCGTGCACAATCCACAGGTGCAGCAGTCGTGCACAATCCACAGGTGCAGCAGCCGTGCACAATCCACAGGCGCAACAGCCGTGCACAATCCACAGACGCAGCAGCCGTTTGCGGCCGCTATATGCAGCATTAGTTTGTGCTCAGTCCACAGGCGCAGCAGCCGTGCACAACCCACAGGCGCAGCAGCCGTGCACAATCCACAGGCGCAGCAGCCGTGCATAATCCACAGACGTAGCAGCCGTTCGTAGTGGCTAGTAGCAGCCAGCACCACGCCAGCAGGTAGGTCTCCACCCTCGCACCTCGGATGGGCGACACTCAGGGCAGCAGGTAAGTAACCAAACCCCCCCCTGTCCACCTGCAATCACTTTGCTTGGCAGTGTAAGGCCCATTCACGGTTGGCTGTTGATAACGCGCAGGCTCGCCTTACGCCGCCTCCATCAATAAGAGCAATACTCCTTGTGCCCGGTCCGTTCCTCAGTCGAAACTGACGTCCCGCCAACTGTGAATGTAACCAATAGCCCTGTATGACTCGCCTTGTAACGCGTGATCGGCGGGCACACCCGAGAAGGAACGTAACCAGACGGAGCGAGGTGGTCACATGGCTTCGCCACCCGTACCACCTCAATAACTAAGGCCTAGCTTCACA